ACCCCTGCGAGGGTAATTGTTCTGTTTTGTGAACTTTCATTTAATAAAAGTGGGCAAGGAAGCCTTGAATGAAGATTACAGCGAGTGGATGCGTCCTTTATGCGCTACTATTTGGAGCTAATCCCCACAGAGTAGATATAGACCCTAATAACCTTAGGACGGTGGTCCTCCACTTTCTCTCCACGGCCCGTCAGCTTATAGCCTCCAGGTGGAAGCTGCCATACGCACCTACACTACAAGAAACCATAGCACGAGTGCACTTGAATTGTGAGCGGTTAATAGCTTTCAGACTCAATGCACAATCAGAGTTTAACTCTAAATGGAAGGATTGGCTTCATTATGTAAAAACATGATAAGCCGATTATATGTCCATACCAGAGGTGACAGATCATTATGCCGGTTGTGGCCATGTTGTAATGTATACTCCTGGATTACGGTTTCAGATTAACAGTTACAGTTAGTCTTGGCTTGTTTATTTTCTTTTAATTTCCTTATTTTCCTTGTATTATTTTATTCCTACAAAGTTATGGTTTTATACGTCTAGCGAAGATTCAATACAGATTTACTATGCATATACTACCAATCGATCCAGAAGCACAAGCGTATATATCTACTACTAGATGGAATGTAAAAGAGATGTCAGGTGATACGGTTTATTTAATGTCTGATGGATGTATTATGTGCCGTTGTATCTGCTTGTTCACTATGGATGTACAAAGCAATGCCTTATATGCATGTAAACCAATAAAAAACAACTTAAAGTTTAAAAAAAAAAAAATCCAAAGAGGGGTGGGAGCGAGGTGTCATATATGGATCTTCAACCAATAGGAAAGATGTCCTTAACTGGGTAAACTAGCTTGGGTTCAGTAGTTCTAATGGGATACCACAAGGTGTTTGAAAAGTCGAAGCAGAAAAGAGCACCAAAGAAACGTTCTGAGAGTTCAAACACTCTCCTACTGGATCCATCGGTGGCAAACAGGAAAAACAAGGTGGCTAGCACGTTTTAGGGGCCAAACAATCTTCCTTCATCAGGGCTTTAGATATTACTAAAGTGGTTCATGGCCACAGAGTAAAAATCTTGGATGTAAACATTGGCAGGGCCACTTATATAAGATTAAGGAGTGCTGGCAAAGTATTTTCTTTAAATAGAGGCCAACCAGTGACATAGCGGCTGAATGGGGGGAATGGTTGCCCAGTGCGTAGTAGCAATTTAACTTCACCAGAAGCACTACGCAAGTTAGGACCACTAACCTCTTGCTGTACAGTGGCGGAACTATTGCCATAGCGACCCAGGCGGCCACTATGGGGCCCGGGGGCACAGGGGGGGGCCTGGCGAGGGCCAGAAACAAAGAGATCCCCCTGATGCCGTGCAGGCTGCCTGGGTCGCTATGGAATCACAGGCTAAGGACGGTCACTGGCGGCTATCAGGAGGAACGTGTATAACAACCCATCAGTGATCTGTGCAGCGGCGCGTTCCTCCTCACAGCCCCTGCTGAGTCAGTGACAGCCAGCAGCTGTGGCAGTGGAGGAGGAGGAGGCTGGGCCCGGTGGCAGTGGAGGAGGAGGAGGCGGGACCCGGTGGGGGTGGAGGGGGCTTGGCCCAGCAGTGGTGAAGGAAAAGGTGGTGCCCGGGCCCATCGGCCACCGTGAATCAGGAGGAGGCTCGGGCCGGTGTTCTGTCAAAGGCTCCGACCCATGGAGATCATACATACCCATGGGCATACAAAATTTTGCTATGGGGTCCTGTGATATCTATTTACGCCCCTGTTGCTGTATGTATGTTCCAGGCTCTACTGTGGAAGCTGTGCCCCAAAAAGGAAAGCCAAGGATGAAGGACTAGTCACCAGTATTGCCTGTGGGCTCTCTGCATCTGAACCTTTCCCAATTACTGACTTACTATGCCTTATTCTGTGTGGTGGTGGTGGCCAACCTCATGGTGAGGCAATGATCAAAAGGCAGCAGGAGATGTGGAAAGGGACACAGATCTACAGAATGGATGAAGCAGAAGCAGGGAGATCCTTGCAACGGAGGTGCTCAGGTACAGCTTCCTCTCCAGCAAGAACAATGAGCAGCACGGTAGTGACATCACCAAATCTCACTTCAAATCTGATGGGACTAGCAGTCAGGGGCAGCAGTGCCTTAGATGATCTCACACAGCAGATATGCAGCTATGAAGCTCAAGGAACATAGTCCCTAGGCACAGAAAGCTATTTTGCAGGAGGAATTAGACAAAATGTAGATTGTTTTTCAGAGTAGTCCTGAGGCACAATTAATATTCTTACATGTTTGCTATGACATAGCGATTTTTCACATTTTGAATGTAAGTCCTCTTTACAGGAAACCCATGCTGAGATGATCTAGAGCAGGGGTGCTCATTAGGTAGATTGTGATCTACCAGTAGCTCTCAAAGCTGATGCTGGTAAATCAGGAAGGGTGTGATTGGCGGCCCCTTTATTCCATTTTGGTATATTTATTTCGCTGTGCACACATGATTACCTATTAGCCTGAGTCTGCTGAGCCAAGCTCCCCGACACCTTTCTGGTGGATACTGGTGGTTGAAGTGCTATGTATTACATCAAAGAATATTAGTTTACACAGCCTGTTGCACTGTCTGCACTGTTTGCAAAATACAGCAAGGTGAGCCAGGAGAGAGAGAGGGGGGAGAGACAGCCAGAAAAGAGAGAGAGGAGAGACAGCCAGGGCAGAGTGCAAGGAGAAACAGTCAGGAGAGAGAGCGAGGAAAGACAGCCAGGTGAGAGACAGCCAGGAGGATGAGCCAGGAGAGAGAGATCGAGGGAGGTTTTTTTTCGATGGTAGATCTCATGTAGCTCGTCATTTGAAAAGTAGATCTTAACACAAAAAATTGTGGGCACCCCTGATCTAGAGGCTAAAATGCTAGTTTATCCGGATCTCATTCCAATCCAAAGACTTTTAATATCTGAGGCACTGGCCCAGTACGAGTTTGCAGATTTGGAGTTCTGACTTCACTCTGATGTCTGCTCTGGTTTAATAACTCAGAAACAGCCAGAGACAGACAGAAAAATGGTATTCCTAGAAGGAGGTCAGTCAAATGACAGCCACCATATTTCCCTTAGCACAAGTTTCCTTCAAGGTGGATGGCAATAGAGTGAAGGAATGACAAAGGGTAAGACAAACAACAGGTTTGCTTTAGAGCAGGTTCACACCATTTATATAGTGTAAACCTGCCCACAGTTCCAGTGCATTCCAGACCAGACAAAATGAGACAAGCAGTCTCATTTTGGCCTGGTCTGGAACAGGCTGCGCTGATGTGAACAGAGGCCAGAAATAGCATAGGGATACATTAGGATGCATTTTGGGGCCAGAAACAATCTGTTCTTGTCTGGAAATGATCTGGATGTGGTGTAAATGGGCCCTACAAGAGCCTCTGTAGTGCGGCTCTTCCAAGGATCCCATCTGAATTGACTACAGAGTTATATCGTACAACATAGAGCAAGAGATGAATCAGATGTTGCAAGGATTTGGCTATACTCCTCTTTGCCATTGGCTTTTACGTCCCGCTTTACAGCTGGATTTTGCGGGAATACTTTGCATGGCATTCGGTTTTGTAGATCTTTAGACACGAAAATGAGAATGTGTAGCTGTCAATTTGACAAATCCTCATAGAACCAGCTTGCCCTCAGTCTTGACATGCCTGGGAGCTATAAGTGAAATGCAAAAGCTTAACATTTTCTGAATTGTTCTCATTCGATACACTTAATTCTCACACATTGTCAGGATTTATAGGAAAGGAGCCATTTCCAGCATGCAATGTGAACCTGCCGTATAGTTTATTCAATCTTCAGGTTTTTCAGTATTTTTTAGACATGCTCAATATCAGTGGTTCTCAACCTGTGGGTCGCAAAAGAGGGGGGCAAACAGGAGTGAGGGGAGGTGAGTGCTTGATCACCACAGAGCCAGCACTGGGCACCACAGAGCCCGCACTGGGAACTACAGAGGATGCACTGGACGCCAACAGAGAGTCCCACTAGGCACGTGAGAGCCTGCATAGCCTCCCGAAAGCCCACACAGATACCAGTATTGGTGCATCCCTAAAGTTTACGGTTGGGGGTCACCACAACTTGGCAAATGTTACTAAGGGGTCCCGACCCTAGAAAGGTTGAGAACCACTGCTCTGTATGGTCAAAAGTTTGTGGATACATGTCTATCACTCCTATACGAGCTTGTTGGACATCCCATACAAGAAACCATGGGCACTTAATATGGGCTTATCCCTTACCCTCTCCTTTGTGGCTATCACAGCCTCCACTCTTCTGTAAAGGCTTTCATCAAGATTTTGGAGTGTGTGGGAATTTGTGCTCATTCAGTCAAAAGAGCATTTGTGAGGTCAGGTACTGACCTCATGTTGGATGTATGTTGGATGATAAGACCTGGCTCACAATCAGTTGCTCAATAGAGTGAGTGTCAGGGCTATCAAGTTCCTCCACAACAAACTCATCAAACCATGTCTGGAGCTGGTTGGACATCCTATTGCCAAACCATGGGCATTTAATAAGGTGTTGCCCCCCTACCCTAGCCCTTCTTGGCTATAACAGCCTATGCTCATCTGTAAAGGCTTTCATCAAGATTTGGAAGTGTGTCTGTGGGAATTTGTGCTCATTCAGTCAAAACAGCATTTGTGAGGTCCTGTACCGACCTCATGTTGGACGGTAAGACCTGGCTCACAATCAGCAGTTCATTAGGGTTCAGGGCTCTGTGCATGCCACTCAAGTTCCTCCACACCAAACTCATCAAACCCATGCCTGGAGCTGGTTGGACATCCTATTCCAAATCCATGGGCATTTAATAAGGAGTTGCCCCCCTACCCTATCCCTTCTTGGCTATAACAACCTCCACTCTTCTGTAAAGGCTTTCATCAAGATTTTGGAGTGTGTCTGTGGGAATTTGTGCTCATTCACCCAAAACAGCATTTGTGAGGTCCTGTGCTGACCTTACAAAAAACCTCATGTTGGACGCTAAGACCTGGCTCACAGTCAGCAGTTAAATAGGGTTCAGTTCCTCTACACCAAACTCATCAAGCCCATCCCTGGAGCTGGTTTTGGGCACAAAGGCACAGTTATGCTGGAACAGATAAAGGTATGCCCCATATTTTTGCCATAAGGTTGTAAGTGGACAATTGTCTAAAATATCTTTGTATATTGAAGTATTAACAGTACTCTTCACTAGAAACACCTATACCTAATCATTTAGAAGGGTGTCACATACTTTTGGCTATATAGTGTACATCATATCAATACTGTATATGTTGGTGTGTAAAAAAAAATATGATATTTCAATTTATAGACAGTCATTATGTATGTGCATTGGGGCAACCATATAAGTCATTATGTATGTGCATTGGGGCAACCATATAAGTCATTATGTATGTGCATTGGGGCAGCCATATTGGTCAATATATATGCTGGGTTTTTTTTGGGTGTAACGTGCCGTCTGTTCCCCATTCTTTCTGCTGAATCTCCAAAACAAGGCAGTCCCCAGAATGAGTGGTGTTGCTAGAAGGGACCCAGTAAAATCTGCTTTTACACTGACAATGCAATTTTATTTCATTCTGAACCATGTCCCACCTTGCAGTTTGTCATGCACATCATCAATCAGTTAGGCAATTTCTCTAGAATACGTTGCAAATTATTACAATCCAACCAACACCAATAATTCTTACCCCTACAATTATTAAACTTTGCCAGGGCTGTCCCTATGAAGCAGCCTGAGGTGGGTGCCTAAGGCGGCATCTTATTGGGTCACGTGAAGGACAGGCCCCAGGGGTCTTAGTAACCTGTGATGCTCTGACCAGTATCAACCCTCCCACCTCCCCTTCCCTCAGGCGGGTAGACATCGGGACGCCCCTAACCAGGGTGATAAAGCTTTTCTCTCCACCACAGACTGTATTCATCTTCTTTGCTTTTCTAAAGCAAATAGTTAACTAGGTTAAAAATTAACACATAATGCAACTAGCAGGGTCAACCTCCTTAGGATGATCCTTTGCGTAAGGTCATGGATACTCTCTGCCAGTTGCCTGTCTACCTTCTAGTGAAATAGTTCAAACAAATCAATCGATTAGATCATGAAAAAAAAAATAGTGTCTTACACTAGAATGGTAGATGAAGTATCTTCCATCTGTTCCTGAATTTCAGTGACAGCCTCTATTTCGGGAACAAATGCCCCCGCCCTCTTCAGTTGAGCCTCGTTTTGAGCTGATGTAGAGGCCTCTATAATTAGGCAACTACAAAGTGTTATATTGCACTAAACCTTCCACCCAGATTATTAGCATTAGCAAACAGCACTTCTGGGTATAATAACCCCCCATATTCTGTGTATTAATGCTATAAGGTCCATGTCACTGTGGGTGTGTCCTTTGCCTATGTGCTGAAAGGTGTCCCTGATCCTTTCGTATCTCAGAAAGTTGGGTGGAATAAAAATCCTAGTAAACTCACTGCAGTGGGGCAGTTTAGTGCTCCCAGACTGCCACCCAAACTGTTCAGTGGCCCAGATTTCTCATCCCTACCATTGCTTCAACAGAGAGGCTTCCATGGTCAGAACTAGAGATGAGGCTGGGCTTTGTGCAAAACCACTTCATCTGAGTTCGCCCAAGCCTGCTCAAAACTCTGACTGCCACCCCCTCCTCCCAACCCAATCAGTGTTGGCATTTGCAGCGGGGGCATTCCTTGCCCCTTTGTGACGTGCAGCAGCAAGGCGTGGAATGCGCCTCACTGCAACTGATTTGGGTCGGGAGGAAGGGGATGGCGGCCTGAATTTTGAGTGAGCTCAGTTGAACTCGGGCAAACTTGGTTTGCACCAAGCCTAGGCTCATCACAAGCCAGCACACTATTGACAAAGCCTATTGCTCCTTCCATTGTAAGTCATACATTGTCTGCCATTAGTATATGGAAATCTGGCCTCTGAGTATAGGGTCACTGAGGGAATACATGTTGCTGAGGGAACAATTGTCCCTGAATTGTATTGCCCATTCAATGCTCATTTGTTGCTGTGTTTTCTTCCATTTCTTGACCACATATTGTTAACAGTGCCCTTTTGCTGCCCATGGATTGTCACAATTGCCTGTTTTACGCCCGAGTCTTGGCACGGCTGTTGGCTGCCCACAGGTTTGCCACCATTGGTCATTTGTTACCCGAGGTTTGTTATGATGTTCGGTCACTCACATGTTGTCACAATTGCCTACTTTACACCCCAGTCGTGGCACAGCTGTAGGCTGCCCACAGGTTTGCCACCATTGGTCATTTGGTACCCGAGGTTTGTTTTGTTATGATGTTCGGTTACTCACATGTTGTCACAATTGCCTACTTTACACCCCAGTCTTGTCACGGCTGTAGGCTGCCCACAGGTTGCCACCATTGGTAATTTGGTACCCGATGTTTGTTATGATTTTCGGTCACCCACATGTTGTCACAATTGCCTGTTTTACACCCCAGTCTTGGCACGGCTGTAGGCTGCCCACAGGTTGCCACCATTGGTAATTTGGTACCCGATGTTTGTTATGATTTTCGGTCACCCACATGTTGTCACAATTGCCTGTTTTACACCCCAGTCTTGGCACGGCTGTAGGCTGCCCACAGGTTTGCCACCATTGGTCATTTGTTACCCGAGTTTTAGTTTGATTTTTCGGTTACCCACATGTTGTCACAATTGCCTGTTTGTTGCTCTATTAGAGAAGAATAGAGGAGAATTAGAACCTCAGTCAGGTTTTATTGGTGTCTGTGTACTCACTGATAACCTATTTTCTCTTACTTCCTGTGCAGGTGATGGGCGTCGGACAGAACTGGAAGTGAAGGGTAATTTCTTCAGAGGTGACATATAGAAACAGATGTACCAACCCTTCCCACAATATGTCAAGAAAAAGTTTTGGTTGGAGTTGGGCAGTAGTATCCAAAAGTGATTTCTCTGGTTCTGATTGGACGCTAGTGGATTGAGTCACCCTGTGGGAATGCCGGAAAGGAGATCTCTCTATCTAAAACAGCGGTCGCCAACCGGTGGTTCGTGGACCACTGGTGGTCCGTGAGAAAATGTTGGTGGTCCCCGGGCCCCTCTGATGCCGGGGCAGGCTGGGCCGTCATTGAAGAGGCACGGAGGCTCCGGGGCTGCCTCTCACTGACTCAAGCAGCGGTTGTCACAAGGAATGCACGGCTCTCAGTACAGTGCGGGCTCTGCAGGAGGCGGGGCATCTCATCAGTAGCCGGACTGAGCATGCTGCATGACAGAAAAAGGGGGAGAAGCCAGGTAATAGTGGCTCAGTGTGTGGGTGAAGGTGAGGCACAGCAGTGGTTGGGGGCAGTGCTGAAGCTAGGGGGGGGCATGTGCCCCGGGCACCACCGGCAGGGCCAGTGGCAGATTCGATAGGGGGGGAAACAATTAATATTATTACTGTTCCAGGGCGGGCGGCACAGCTCGCTCCCTCCACCAGCACTGCCACTCCTGCAGGCACACCCGCACCCGCATGTATGTATGTGTATATATACTGTATGTATATATAGATTTATTCTCATATTTTTTGTTTCCTTATATATATATATTCTGATATGTATGTGTGTGTGTATATAGATAGATAAAACGAGAGAAAGATACACACATGAAAATATATATATATTTTTAAAAAATTCATATTAGTGGTCCGCGGGATTTAAAATTTAGTGGTCCATGAGATCCGAAAGGTTGACGACCGCTGGTCTAAAAAACATTATGATGATGATATATTGAGCTTGGCTTTATGCCGATCAGCTGCATCGCCTACTTTCTGCTGGGACTCTTTATATAGATCAGCATATACAAAGCAAGATATGTCACAGCCATGGCTGATACAGAGCTGCATACCTCTCCATTAGGATACATAAGCTGAGCGAATGAACCTGCTGGCATCAGCCCAGACTGAAGAAAAAAAAATCATTTTTGGCGGACTTACCCTTTGAAACAAGGTATATTGTATAACACTTGTCCGGCTTCCAAGAGCAGGTACAATATTTACAAAAGGGTTTTGTCACAGCGATCTCCAATCTTTGTAATGGAATTACTCAGGTGTCAGGTGTTTACAATGAACGCGGCCAAATTAAACACAGCGCCATTGTTGTGCAAGACTTCTGATTAATCAGATCCGGCTGTCTTGACCAAGAATTACATTTCTGCTTTCTTCATCACAGATGCAATCGAATCCCCTGTGGACATACTGCAGGTGCAGTCAAGTGAGGACCAACTTTCGATGCTCAACTTCTTCAGCGGTTCTCTCCAGGTAGTTTACCAAGGCAAGGACAGCAGACCTTATACACTGAGTGGCCAGATTATTATGACCACCCCATCAGTATTTCGTTGGGCCGCCTCGTGACTCCACGAGATGGTGAAAGGTGATGCGAGGAATCTGACACGGCACTGTTGCCCTTCTGTTGTCTTGTACCAGTCTTGCCCCTCCCCCGTTCTGCCCTAACATTGACTAGTCGCTGACGGCCACAATTCGCACGTTCAGACCCAGATTTTCCGCTGACAGTCCAATCTTTAAACACTTTAACAATGAGCCCCTCTTGAGCATTTAACGAATTCTGCTGTTTTGCTGATACTCGCTCCATGGCTCCGAGCGCCAACAATCATCCCGCGTTCAAAGGCTGTTAAATCGCGTTGTTTCCCCGTATCTTCAGAAACAATGACTTCTACTGTCGTGGTAAACAACCTGCTTCTCTATTTATAATGGTCTGGCCCTCTAGCAACTTCAGAAGCCATAGCTAGCTCCTTTTGCCCCGAGGCAAGAGCAAAAAAATTGCCCCCCCATAGGGGTGTGACGTCACCCAGCGCCACGCATGCGCGGCATCATCTGATGTCATGCGCCCCGCCTCCAGGGTGTGTTTTTTTATAATTTTTTATTTATTTTGTATTATTTATTTTTTTAATTTAATTTTTTGTCTGTGGGGAGTGGGGGGCTTTGGGGGGTTTAGGGGTCAACAGCCCCTTGATATTACCCTTTTTAAAATAGAAAAAGAAATTGAGGACACCGAGTCCTCAATCTCTTTTTCTGCAGCATCTTTTCTAAATTAATTGAAAATACAGAGGAAAATACAGAGTGCTACTACCCATTGAGAAACTCATGAATGAACAGGAAGTGATGTAAAGGACTTCCTGTTGATTCATAACTGAGGACACATGGTACTATCTGTGACGGACCCCCGTACTCAGGATGAGTATGTCCGCCGCTGTCTTCTTCCTTGCTGAGGAGATATTGGAACCTGAAGATCCTTAGCTCCCAGTTTCCCCAGTCACTAGTCAAGGCTTGAGTGTAGGTGAAACAAACTCTGGTTTATTGAGAAACTGCACAAACATTTATACAGCAAGTGATCAGATCAGAATATAATCCCATCACATCCACCTTCCCCTCCCCAGAAATCCTGTCTTCACAACACCACAGGTGTCCACCTGCTAAATAGCTCCAGACAGCCATAGCAGTGGCCTGGCCAGAATGTCATTGTTCTGAGCTCCCTCAGAGAACAATGGGAGATAACGAGGGATGGTGCTGATAGTCTTTCCATAACCAGGTCACACAGCATAACGCACTCAAACATAACTCAACACCAATACACATTCAACTTATAAACTCATCACCATGTCGTCACACTATCTATTTGTCCCCAGTTATTTACAAATACTGGAGTGATCAGCTGATCGCTCCAGTGTTTGCTCTGCACACAGAGGATCGGTACATATCACTAGGCACTTTACATATTACTAGGCAATTTATTTTTTAGCAAATCTATAAGACTCATAAAGACTCATCTCTTCAGGGAAGCCTATCCCACCTCAACCTAACCGCTCAACCATCACGTCCTCAAACAATTTATCCCCACACAGCTCCCTCCTCATGTATCACTTGCCCCTCCCTTTTAGATTATAAGCCCTCAGGGGCAGGGCCCTCCTTACCATCTTGTCTTGAATTGTATTGTGATTGTAATGTCTGCCCTATATTGTAAAGCACTGCGAAAACTGTTGGCGCTATATAAATCCTGTATAATAATAATATAACATTTTTGTGTGACATAAAACCTTGTTACACATCATTTAAGAGTATGAAAAGTTGTCATAGTAATTTTTCGAATAGATTTTTACATGCCTCATGTACCAAACATTCCTGGTGCTATTAAAGCCCATCTCCAGGATAATTTCCACCCCCCCAACTGATCCCAAGATGAACAAACCTTAATTAAAAGCTCTTTTTTACTTACCTAAAGCTACAGTCACAAAATGGAGGCCGTGCAATGCGCGCAAACTAAATCTCCATGTGGCTGGAAAACGCGCTATTGCGCATGAAAACCGGAAGAGCGCGAAAACACGCACAACGGCAGTCGCACAGGAAATGATGCTGCTATGGTTAAGCTCACCATATAAAAACAAGCCCCTGCTCCATTGCTGATGTTCTTCTCAGCTAGTGTTCCTGTGTGCCTGTACTTGTTGGATTCCTGTGACCTGCCTGACCCGGTTTGTTTGGACTTTGCTATTTGATTGCTGCCTGCCCCTGACCTCGGCCTGTTTCCTGGAATTTGCCTTCCTTCTGCCTACTGATTTTGTACTCTGCTGCCCGGCTGGCTCTGACCTCTGGCTTTCCTGACCACGCTCCAGTCTCTTCTTCCTGCTCCCACGCTGTCTGCTTGGTGGACCCCCCAGCTTGCTGACTACACACTATCAGGGTGTCTCCTGCATGGTGTCGGTTCCCATCAGTGGCACCCGTGCTCCTCGCTGCTCCCTGTTCTCACCCCCAGGGGCGGAAGGACACAAGTCGCAAGAGAAGCCTCCTCACCATCTGGTCTCTTACTAGGTAGGTAGTGACACAATGCGTGTGTGATGTGGACAATTCCTATTGGCTGTCTAGAGTCCTCTCAGGATCCAGGAGTGATGTCATCACAAGGGGACGGTAGGGAATCAGCCGGTGGGGGACCATTTGCAGCTTCGGTTAGTGGTCCCCCACACCTGGAAGTGGCGGTGGCCAGCGACCTATACAGGGGACTTAGTTGAGTAACTTGCTTCTAAAGTTAAGAAACATAAAAACCTTGCTGGACTGGTTGGAGATGGGGGTGAGGGTACAAAATTATCCCGGAATGGGGCTTTAAAGGAGAATTATGAGGTGAGGAATTTTCACTCAGCCTCATAATCTGAGCCGACCTGTGACAATGAAACTGTCACAGGTCGGCTCAGTAGATCGGGAAGTGAGCGAACACATACCGGCGCACGCTCACTTCTCAATGCTGTGCCTGCAGAGAGCCGTGACGGAGGGTTTTGGATTCCCCCCTCCCCTGTCCGATCCTCCAGCGCTGACTGGCAGAACGGACGCGGGAGGGGGCGGGTACAGCTGGCTCTGCCTCTAGAGAGGCAGAGTCAGCTGTCACTCACGCAGCTGGGTGGATCCAGACATCATTGTCGGGATCCGTTCCGGCTGCAGCGTCTCAGCGGTGGCTCGCAGTATACTGAGCTTTGGGTGACGGGAGGACGCTAGTTTGTGTCCTCCCGTTACCCTTAGGAGAACTATGGGGAAAAGCCCTGACCCCATAGTTCTCCTTTAATGTACAACATCTGAAGCTGATATCCTTTATTGACCTAGTAAAGTTATGGAAGATGCAAGCTTTCAAAACGAAGATAAAGTATAAGAAAGCAAAAAATTATAATAATAACCTAACCCCCGTCTCACCTCCGCGCATTACACATTCAAACTGACATCTCCCACATTCCACAAATGGAAAATCCAGATGTAACAGTCTACAAATCAACAGAATATCAGGTAACAGATTTATATCTTATGCTGTTGAGGTGACTTTGTATCAGTGCAATCCACCAGTGGTTTCACATGCCATGCCATGCCATGCCATGGACTTATGGACTGTTACATCTGCATTTCCCATTTGTGGAGTTGGATTACATTTGACTGGGATGGTACAAGTCTGTGCAGGACTGGGGAGAGGACAGATACACTACTGCATAGAATGGAAATAAATATAGACCCCCCCCTATGGATCATTGGGGGTATGTTTCCTAAAGGGACGATAAGTGTAACACGCAAAGTATTTGACTCTGCTAAGGTATGACATTTGAATGTGAAGGAACCCCAAATGGGTGTGCCGTTTTAAAGACATCTGTGAAGGTTCTCATTCATCCGAGTCATGGTATATCTGTAAAAAATAAGCCAAGGCAACTGGACTTGCTGTATTTTTCTTGAAGACCTTTCTGCATTTACAAAGCTAGTCGGATGACCAGCAAATGTTTTCAATAAAAATACAGTAAGTCCATTTGCCTTGATTTATTTTTTACAGATACGTTTTAAGGACAGATCTGTAGTTTTTATGGTGGAACAAAAATGTGCTCTTGTCAAGTTCCATTGATCTTTTCTATAATATTACTATTAATAATAATAATATAATAATAAAAGGAATTTAGTATTTAAAGTATAAATAAACCTACCGTGATCACTAACATTTTATATAAGCTTTGACAGGTAATTTCAAAAGTCATTTTCAATATTCTTTCAGTAGTTACTTTTTCCAAATGTCTTCAGAGTGGGCAAGTGATGAGAGGGTCCCCGTCCTCTCCTCCCCAGCACTGGGTGGTACTCAATAATGCAGACTAATGTGATTCTCTGTATCATTACACTGCGAGTACAAGGTGCAGTGCATCACGCGGTGGGTCCATGATGGTGTGGAGGTTTTAGCGTACATTTTGAAGTGCTGGGCCTCCAAGTGCATCCCTGTGCATTTTTTATATATTGTTTTTTAGAGGACAGATAGGGCTATATATTTATATCACATATGTGTGTCTAACGCCTCACTTAGGACAAATAAAATATAAAAAAAAGAGGAAAAAAACGTTAAAAAAAAACTTTTTTCCCAGTTTTGATTTGTAGTAATTTTTTTTACAAAACCAGCACAGCTAAAAAAAAAAATGCAATAAATACATTCATTTATTTGTCCCTTATTTTTTATTTTTTCCACTTATTTTTAATTTTTTTTTTACACTTTTCACTATTTTTTTTTTTACTGCTTGATAAATTAATACATTTTTGGTTATTATCAGGCTGCTTCAAACTTCAGAACAGTCGATAATAAGTTAGTGACACTGATCCTGCAGCAGTTCAGGATTCAGCTGTCACTAGTTTTCTGATTGTTACAACAACCATCAGCAAACTGAAACATTCTACTTTCAGAAAAAAAGCCAGTATAGCTTGAGAGAGCTATCTCTCGATATTTACGAGCTGTCAGAATGCCGGCATGTTTGCTGGCTCTGCTGTGACTCTCAGACACCCGATCTTCAGGTATCGGATCTTCAGGTATCGGGTGTCTGAAAAAGGTTAACCCTTTCATTAATGGATGCCTCTAAACTTAGGCATCCATTAATGAATAATAACCACCGATTCTCAGCGGTTACCAGCCTTCTAGTGCAGCAAATAACTCGTCACGTACAGTGTACGTGACGAGTCATTTGGTCACTTTGTGGCAGGACGTACAGTGTACGTCTCCCGCCACAAAGGGGTTAAGGAGGAGTGGGGTACCTCCAGGCATATCGGCATTCAATGTATCTATTGCTATATATGCTCCAATATGGAGGCTCTCAAAGATCAGAGTAAGGACCACATTTCACAGGGGAGCCTTGATGCGGCTTTGCGGCTTCCACATATTTTGCAAAAGTTGTGCAACTAAAACCTCTGATTTTAATGCATAAAGTTGGACGGTGTGGTTTTTTCTGTTGCGGGGTAGCTGGTAAGTGTGTTGGGAAATTTGTGTGTCTTGTATTGGTGGGTCCATGATGCCCTGCATTCACAGGATGTTCTCAGTCTTTTGGGTTAAATGAGATTGGCCATCAGCCAATCTTAAAGACTGAGGACATCTAGCTGCAGAAAGAAATGACGGGGGAATGGTGCTGGAGAGGAGGTACAGTATATTGCAGCCTGATCTGAATTGTTTTATTCTACAGCTTCACAAAAATAGCCCAGGGCTGGGCTTTAATATAATACCTTGTGGCCCTGCTATAAAGGGCATTGTTGATGATTCTGTAACAACAACAGATGAAACATTAAAAAAACAACAACACATATTTGATGTATTATTTTGGCAATTATTTAACATATAAAGCACTTTAACAAACTAAATGTCATTCAGTTCGATCCCCCGATGAAACCAGAAAGGTGAAAACCGGGTCAGAACTGGACGGCCTTTTTAAACTGATCTGTGTTTTGAAAGTGGAGGTGTGAGAGTGCATTAAATCCATATATATCTTCTTTGTTGTATGGTCTGCCCTATTTGTGTATCACTACATTGCCGCTTTGTAATATTGTCAGA